AGGCCCTAAAAGGTCGCCTTCATAATTAGAATAGCGTTTAGGGTTTAGGGTTTAGGGTTTAGGGTTTAGGGTTTAGGGTTCAGGGTTTAGGGTTAGAATAGCGTTTTGGAGGCGTAATTATTGTATAATTATAAGGGGACCATAAGGGGATCCTGATATTTTTCCGACCCCGATAGTACGAAATTGTAGGGTTTTGGGCCCTTCTCTGCCCCAAGGAGCACCCGCTCTCCGTGCGCCAGGAAGGTGACGCAGTCTTCTTTCACGTCCAAGTCTTCCACGTTTCCTGGGTTTAGGGGTTTACAGGGTTTAGGGTGTAGGGTGTAGGGTGTAGGGCTTAGGGTTTAGGGTTTAGGGTTTGGGGTTTAGGGTTTTTTAAGCATCATTGAACAGGATCAGAACAAAACCGCCCCTAAACCCCTAAACCCCTAAACCCCTAAGCCCCTAAACCCTAAACCCTAAACCCTAAACCTCCTGAATCCTTCTGAATCCTCCTGAGCCTCAAGCCCTTCACGCCGAACTCTACAAGGAATATGCCCAGAATGGAGACCCAAAGAACGCTCAAACCCTAAGCCCTCCCAGGAAAACGCTAAACCCTAAACCCTAAACCCTAAACCCTAAACCCTAAACCCTAAACCCTAAACCCTAAACCCTAAACCCTAAACCCTAAACCCCTCTTGCTTCTTGAGTGAATGTTGGGGAAGGGCTGGCACTTTAGGGTCATATCTGACAAGACCGCAAGGAACCACCAAGACTGGCCTGCAGACGCTGCATTTTTCAAGTCAAACAGGCAACTGTGAAAGTACGCTGCGGGTCCGGGTCAAGCTTGCTTTTAACAGCCGCGTGAAAAGCGTGGGACCTTATGGTGAAAGATGTTCTGATTCTGTTGAAGGATGTTTTAAAACCCTAAGCCCGTTTGAATGTTGCTTCTGGAGACGTAGAGGCACATTGGCAAAGCCTCGCCAGTGCTGCCCAGCCACGGGCACCCGCGATGCTGGGGACCTTTCTTAAAGGGGCCGAGAACCTTTGACGAGATTTAGGGTTTAGGGTTTAAGGGGTTAAGGGGTTTAGGTGTTTAGGGGTTTTATGTTGGTAGCCCAGGAACCAGATTAGAGTAGGGTGCCCTTCTTGACCTTGAACTAGCAAAAGGGGTACTGGGCTGCTAAGTTCTAAGGTACTGAGTATGGCATGAGTGTGGCCGGTGGATTCAAGTGTGTGAGGGCTTGGGGTGTGCAATCACAAGGTGCAGAGGCACTAGTCCGGGATGTTGCTGCCCTGAGTGCCAGGCATCTCGGGTTCGGCTTGCAGCCTGAAACCTAAAAAGTTCAGCCAAATGTCAGGGGAGTAGCATTTCAAACGCAACCTCCGTGTGGACCACACAACACCCTAAACCCTAAACCCCTAAACCCCCGAAAACATTACCCTAAATCCTAATTCATGAAGTCCCCACTCCCCCCCGCCGGAGAGTAAGGAGGCCCCTAAACCCTAACCTTCTGCAGCCTTAACCCTAAGCCCTAAACCCTGAACCCGGCTAGAACTAGCTTTTCGGCTACAGTTACAAGGCCTGTTGGGGTTTTGAGGCTTAAAGCCTGGGGTTTAGGGTGTTTTTTAAAGTTTGGGGTTTTTAGGGCCTTTAGGATTCAGGGTGATCAAGCCCTGAACTCCCTCAACCCCTATTTATGCTTTTGGAGACACACACACACACAAACCACCTCAACCCTCAACCCTCAAGCCTAAACCCTAAACCTTAACCCTGAACCCGGTCCTGAAACTAAAGTGCGTCAACTTTGGGGTTTAAGGGTTTTGGGGGGAACTTTGCAGCCACAGGAGCAGTGATCACCAGGCGCCCGGGAGAGAGGACATGGCTGATCGGGGCCATCCATCGCAGGGGAGTGCCAAAACCCTGAGCCCTAAACCATCGAAACCCTAAACCGTCGAAACCCCATCCGTGATGGGTCCCCGCAGGGCCTCGAAGAAACCAAAGGTACGTTTATAGGGGGCTCATGCAGGTCATGATGAAGGGTAGGCAGCGCCCTGACGTATAGTTAGTTTACGAAAGTCGGGGCCCTGCCCAAGAACCTGAACCTTAAACCCTGAAGCCTAAACCCTAAACCCTAAACCCTAAACCCTGAACCGTTTAGGTTCGTCCCGTGACCTTTGAGATGAAGGGTGCATGCCACGTCGGGCTGGGAAGTTCGAAGCTGCGCCACTCAGCGGGCTTTTGTGTTCGGGGCTCTGTGTTAAGGTTGAGGGTGTAGGGTTTAGGGTCTAGGGTGTAGGCTTCTATTTTTTAAGCGGTTGAGGGGTTTTAGGCAGTTTAGTTTACAGAGGGTTAAGGAACCGAATGGAGCGCACATGTGGCCTCTTGAAAGCTGGTTGCGGCCATCACATTCGTCTGTGTCCGCAAACAAGAACCCGCAACACCCCAAAACTCTCTACGCTCTACTACACGAACTACAACACTCAAACCTCGAACTGCCCGCACCTATAGGCAAAGATTCCACATTTCTAAGCACGGCCCCTGATAGGGGCCCTTAACCTGCCATCCCAATCATACACCCTTCGTCTGAAGTAGGGTTGTTTACCAGTGTCCCCAAAAGGATGCCCCCACCACGTATGTACAGCAACAGGGGTTCCTACCCTAAACCCCTATCCCTACACCCCAATCCCTAAACCCTAAACCCTAAACGATTCTTCTGTATGAGGCCAAGGGCCCAGACTTCAAGCGCCCGTGCTTTTACTTAGCCTTGTTTAACCTAGGGCTGCTATGGCTGAGGGTGTAGGGTTTAGGGTTTAGGGTTTAGGGTTTGAGGTTTGAGGTTTAGGGTTTAGCGCTTGGTTTTGAGGGTTTGGGGTTTCGGGTTAGCCTTTAGGGGTCGCGATGAGAGCAGTTCGATACTGCCAATGCAAGGGCGGCTTTGGGATGTAAGGTTGAGGGTTACTTGCTAGCTCTAAGTAGGGAATTAGGGAAGCGGGCATCACAGGTCCTCCTTTAAGGGACGATCAGATACCTAATCTAGACCCAAGAGCAACCTAGGAATCCCTTGTTGGTATTTACGCGGCTTATCAGGGAAGCTACACCCTACAAAAAGGGAAGAAGGGCCTGCTTTACTCTGCATCCTAATAATTCCGAATTCCCTGCAAAGAGTCACCCAAGTGAAGGGTCGAACTAGCACATCATGGCTAGGCTGTAGGTTTGATGGTTCGAACAGCTAAGGTTTTGGGTTTAGGGTGAAACTAGATCTTTGAGAGCACTGTCCAGCATAGATGAGGATGCAGATGGCATAGAGGAACAGAGTGCACTCAGCAGAGAGCCATGATTACAACAACAACCCCAAACCCTAAAGCATGAACCCTAGACCGGAGGAGAGGCGGCAACCTTATTGACGGACCTACTGACGTGGCTCTTAAGGTCTTTGTGCTGGGGACTTGGCTTCTCCGTGCTTTTGGATTTAGAGCTGAGGGTTTACGATCTACGGTTTTCAGCCCACAGTCCCTGAAATACCTACAGCCTGTCATCAACAAACGCTGCGTTGTAAGCACTACAAGCCCTGCAAGCTGAGCAAACCCCGAAGCATAACAAAGCCTCAGTCCCATACTGAGACGTGCAAAACCCTTTGAGGAATGTTAATGCAGAGCTTCCCTTATACGGTAAGGCAAGACAGGGCAACTGAAAACACATCCGACAAGCAAAGCCCAGTGAGCCTCATCGCCTTCAGCCGGAGCCTGGGAGAAGCAGCCGGAGTGTCTTTCTGAAACCCTAAGAACCCTAAACGCTAGACCTCCCTTATAACCTATAACAGAAACAGCCATACACATATGACTGTAATACATACATATACATTTTGTATATGTTTATGTATCAACTACCCCCAAGTACGCGTATTCTTGATTATATGGAGCACTCCACCCCAAGCCCTAGACAGTCTCTTGCTTCTATTGCTTCGTTTCTTCTAGTGTGCCATTTTTGGGGGTTTAGGGTTTAGGGTTTAGGGTTTAGGGTTTAGGGTTTAGGGTTTAGGGTTTAGGGTTTAGGGCTTGGGGTTTAGGGTTTTGGGGGGTCGAAAGCTCCCTTCAAAAAGGAAGCCCCAATCCAGAACCCTAGGCCCTTAGCCCCAAGCCCAAAGCCCGAAACCCTAAACCCAAAACGCCGCCCAGCCACCCTAAACCCTAAACCCTAAACCCCAAACCCTAAACCCTACATCCTAAGCCCTAAACCCTGAACCCTAAACCCGAAACCCAACAGTGGAAAAGCATTTGGGCTTCGGGTTGGGGATGGCTGCTCAGGCCCCGCGGGTGGGGGGTGGGAGAAGTTCTTGGGCTTCGGGCACTTTGCACCCCAAAGAGTTGCGGGATTCCTGCAAAGTTTAGGGTTTAGGGTTTAGGGTTTAGGGTTTAGGGTTTAGGGTGCAGGGCACCTTATAGCTGCCCCCAAAAAAAACATAAGGCAAAAGGTCGCCCGTCACCAACCCCGGCCACTTTGAGAGCCACCTTTTGCTGCACAGGTCGAAGTCAGCACGAAATGGGCACAAAACTTTTCCCAGGATCGGGGCCCTGAAGAGGGGTTAGGGTTTAGGGTTTAGGGTTTAGGGTTTAGGGTTTAGGGTTTTAGGGTTTAGGGTTTAACGGTTTAGGGTTTAGGGTTTAGGGTTTAGGGTTTAGGGTTTAGGGTTTAGGCTTTAGGGTCTAGGGCTAGACCCTAGAGAGCAACCTAGGAATAATAAAAGGGGGGCACTTTTTTGGTTAAAGGTGCTTATTACGGGAACCTCAACCCTAACAAAAAGCGAATCAGGGCCGCACTCTGGGTCCTAGGATAGTGAGACATCCGGGATGCACACTGTAAAACTTTAGCTACCCGTTTGGATGGACCCAGAGACTCCAAAACCCCTTAATTAAGGAACGTACCTTAAATCATATTAAGGTTCCTATTATGATTTACGGGCTATTCCTTAATTAAGGGGTTTTGGAGTCTCTGGGTGAAAAGGCACTGATCGGCCATCGCGTCAAAAGCTTCGTCGCCTGCCTTTGCTCGCCCCAGGCTCGCACGCATGTGTTGCAGATGCCCCCAAGAGTCTCTGAACATGATCAGGGAAGCTTCCTGCTTGCAGCATGGCCTGGACCGGAGCACATGAACTGCCCTTAATATGCGGGCCTTAATAATTTCAAAAGGGTTCTCGGGGTTATTACTATATAGGGACCATAAGAGAATACTATCAGAAATTCCTGCTTGCAGCAGGGCCTGGACCGGAGCAATTCGCTTTGCTCTGAGGCCCTAAACCAGAAACTTCACCGAACAAATCACGAGGGTCCCAACCTTCCACCTAGCAGACGATCGCCGGAAACCCTTAAACCTGCGTACACACCCCATTACAATGTGCACTACCCAGAGACTCCAAAACCCCTTAATTAAGGAATATCCCTTAAATCAGAATAGGAACCCTAATATGATTTAAGGTGCATTCCTTAATTAAGGGGTTTTTGAGTCTCTGGGTAAGCGGGCAACGCGAAATCAGCCAAGGACTGCAAGATGCCTCGCTCGGTCCCCCAAAAAAACGTCTTAGTCATGATAACGACTCCTGAACTTAACTTAGTCACCGCGAGAAAGCGCACTGCATCACTATAACACAAAATCAGGGTGATTGCCTTGAGTGCTAGGATTCTTGCAATCACTACTACCAGCATCTCGACATGCTATTTGAGCGCTAAAACATCAAGCCTTGTTTTTTTCTGCTTGTCCCTCAAGGTCCATGTACCTAAATAGGGAATATGGGACTTTGGGGCCCAAGTATACAAACAAGAGGTACAGGCACACTTAGACCCAAAACCCTAAACCCTAAACCCCACACCCTAAACCCTAACCCACGGTGGAAGACCACCCGCCTGAATCTCCTCGCTCTTGGAACCGAAGCCCCTGCAGGCACGCTGGAGCGCATCCAAACCTAAGAGGATAGGGTTTAGGGTTTCGGGTTTAGGGTTTAGGGTTGTGGGTTTTGGGGGTTCAGGGGGTTCAGGGGGTTCAGGGGGTTTGGGGGTTTAGGGGGTTTAGGGCGTTTAGGGTTTTAGGGTGTTTAGGGTCTTAGGGTGTTTAGGTCATAGCGTTATCGGTCATAGGGTGTAGGGCTCAGAGTTCAGGGTTTGGGGTTAGGGTGGAGGGGACATCGAGGCTCACTCTGAAGTACACCTGTAGCTAGCTACAGTGGCTTAAGACTTAGGATGCTGTAAGAATGCTGCCTCACGGCTCCAGACACAGCATTCTGTATCTTAGCTGTCCAGTAACCTGGGGGAACTAAAGGTTTACCTTTAGGATTACAAGGGGACTACATTACCCCGAAAAGGTTAAAGGATACCTACTCCTAAACCCTAAACCCTAAACCCTAAACCCTAAACCCTAAACCCCTGAGTAACCCTGAAAACAAGGGTGTCAGGGTTGAAGACCTTGAAGGCTGTGGGTGCATCCCAGAGACTCCAAAACCCCTTAATTAAGGAATTTACCATAAATCATATTAGGGTTTCTGTTATGATTTAAGGGACATTCCTTAATTAAGGGGTTTTAGAGTCTCTGGGCATTGTAGGATGTTGGATTCAGGGCACCGAAACTCCGAAAACGCTCCACCAGACGCCCCAAGCTGCGGCTCATGGTCTCAATATCCCTAAACCCTAAACCCTAAACCCTAAACCCTAAACCCTAAACCCCCCCAAAAGAGTGGTCGAACTTCGAAGCCAGGGAGCCCTTGAGAACTGCAGCTTCTGCGATGTCCGCAAAGCTGTCAACGGCCAGCATCTGTGGCAAAGCATCCGACACCATGTCCACCACTCCCGTCACCTTTCCCAGGGTAACCCTAAACCCTAAACCCTAAACCCTACCTAAACCGGTAAGCTTTGGGATGCTTCCCCTTGTACTCCCGTCACCTTTTTGTCAGGGGAAGCTTTTGGGATGCTTCCGGCTTGTGTTTAGGGTTTAGGGTTTAGGGTATTAGGGTATTAGGGTTTAGGGTCCGCCGACCCTGGCGGCGTGTTGGATGGGAAAAGGAGGTGAAACCTCCCTCCACAAAACGCGGGGGGGGGGTGGGGGTCCCCGGGCAGCTTTTCCATGGAGGGCCAGGCCACCTACACGGCATAAACTCACGGACCATAGGCGGTTTCGCACAGCACAAGGCCTTTTAGGGAAAAACCACCCCCCCCCCCTACCCCCCCTACCCCCCCCCCCTACCCCCCCCCTAAACCCCCCCCCCCCCCCCCTAACCCCCCCCCCAACCCCCCCCCTACACCAACTTTGGCATCCTTTCACCTGACGAATGCGTTTAAACCTTTCAACTATGCTCCAGCGGGGTCGGCGGCTTGAGCCGGAGGCTCTTAAATCCGGCCCCCGCGCCGCCCGTGGTCCAGGGCGGAGCCCGCGTCGCACTAAAGCGCTAGCTTTAAGGGGCGAGCGCCCGAGCCGCCGACCCCGCCCAAAATTGCTTCAAATTCGCGCGGGGCCCTTCGGGAGGCCTCCGAAACGGCATCCAAGGGGACGCAACACGCGGTGGTGCGAAAAGCACGAAAACCTCGTAAAAACCATGGGTTTTTACGAAAAACCGAGGCCACAAAACACCCGCAGCACCCCATTAAACCCTCACGGGCGCGCATCATCGACCCTAGCTTTTCACATGGGGCGCGCGCCAGGCCGAAACCATGTTTTTCAAGGTTTGGGGGGGGTACCGGAAGCCCAAAACCAGGCGAGCATCATGAGCATCAGCAGCCCTGGCCCGCGGACCCAAGGCAAGAAAAAACGCTGAAAAACGCTGAAATCACCGTAAATACCGTGTTTTTATGAGGGTTTTCACGCGTGCCTCCGACCCCCACCCTTGTTGCCCTTGACCCGCCCCCAAAGTGCGCATCATCGAAACCCACGTCGGGGGGGGGGTCTGCTGATGCTGCTGATGCGCGGGGGTCCGGGGCATCATCGAGCCATCGTTTCTCATGTGGGCTTCGTGGGCCTCCGGGCCCACGGCCCAGAGACCCAGCTGATGCTCATGATGCTCGGTTTGGGGGGGTGTTCCAACAGCAGAAAACCTCGTAAATACCGAGTGTTTTGTGGGTCCACGTAAAAACGCCCCTAAAATCGCTCATTTTACGCGCTCGAACGGCTTCGTGCCTACAAAACACCCGAACAGCAGGACCCCGAATGCCCTTAAGGGCATTCGGGGTCTTGCTTTTGGGGGTTTCGTGGGCACGCAAGCGTTCAAGCACATACAATCGGCGTGTTTAAGGGGGTTTTGGATGGCCTGGGGGAGGCCGCTGATGCTCATGATGCTCCCTTTCCTGGGTCCCAAAAGGCTTCCCAAGCCCAAAAACACGTGTTTACAGCGTTTTCTGAAGGTTTTTCGAAGGCAAAACGCATGCATAGAATGCTTTTAAGGCCCCCAAACCAACCCCACTGATGCTCCTGATGCGGGTGCGCGCGCGCGCGCGCGCGCGCGGCGCGCGGGGGGGGGGGGGGGAGGGAGGGGTGGCGAAGGCAGGAGAAAGAGAGACAGAGAGAAGGAGAGGACAAAGACACGGGAAAGAGAAGACAGTGCCAAGGTTCAAGGTTTCGTGCTTTGGGGGGCGGGGGCCGGCCCGTGCCGCTAGGCCTGAAATTTAGGGTTTAGGGGGTTTCGGGTTTAGGGTTTAGGGTAACAGTCCTTTGTAGGGATTGTAATAGAGGGTACTAATCGGGACTGTTAGTATCAGGGGTAGCAACCCAAGGTAAGCTACACTCCTGCAGCCCCAAAAATGAAGAGTCTCCAAGTCTCCCAACACTTTTAGGGTTTAGGGTTTAGGGTGTTTAAAGCCACACAAAAAACTCACACATGTAGTATAAACGCAAGCGCGTACCTCCCGCCTGCCAACGATGGGCAAGATCCAACGCGACCAACATGGTCTTGTAGTCGGGATCGTCCCAAGTAGAGCCCGTGTAAAGCATGTCCAGGAACAAAGAAACCCCTGAACTCGATGAGTCCTCGACTGAAATCCGCTTGCTCGAGCCTTCCTTCATACTGGACTCCAGCATGGCTTTTAGGACAGGAGAGGCGGCAAGGAGGACGACGTCATGAGCAGTGACTTGGCCATCTGCCGTTTCGAAGATCACGTTGTGTGTGGCAGTCATGTTCCGGACAGACTCCCACACCTCCACGACGCTTTGACGCATTGGAACTGTCGGGGGATCCCTTGCAGCCCTTGTCGCTACTGTACTTGCGCAGAGCGTCAGGAATTCTCGGAGGCATCCCGTCTCATTTCCCCAATTTGCACCACCCTTCGCCTCTTGCATGGCGTGCAACCATGCGACGGCTAGCGTGATGGCAGAGTGTCCGCCGAAGGACACTGTTATTCTGGTTGCGTCCGGTTTGTCTTTCTGGAACCAAGACCTAAAAAAGGTGTTTTCTGCCGGCAGCCTTTGCTCAGGATCTGCTCCCGACTTGAGCATCCATTCTGCAAGCTTTAAGAATCCAGATTTGTTGTTTGACATTCGCGCAGGGTCAAGAAGCAGCACAGTCAACGGCACTAGTCCGTCATTCCCGATAGGCTGCGTCCAGTCGAAGTTGGATGGGAGCTTGTTCTGCAGGGTCTCGCAATCCCAAAGATCCTTAGATTTGGAGTAGACCCAGAAAAAAAAAGTATATAAATTTTAGGTATAAGTAGCCAGAATAGGAACCCAGAACCCAAACAAAGTATTAAAGTATAGTACTCCAATCCCAAAGATCCCAAAGCGAGAGGAAGCCCCAGACCATGTCGGCTCGGCGACTTCCATCTTCCGACATAGATGGCAGATGTAGGAGGCCGAACGTCCGCCGCTACTGCTTTGTATATATATATATATATCTTATATATATATATATAATATATTAGATATACATATATTATATATATATATATATTGGGAAACACCAAGAAGCAACACATTAAGAGTGGAAACTCATGTTCCTGAACTGCAGCCCTGTATGTAAACCCAGCAGAGGGCTCTCATCTTAGTAAGACGCAAGCACCTTCAAGCTATGCCCCTTAGGCTGCGCGACGCTCTGCTTTAGATGTTCTTCTGGAGTCGAGCAACACAGATCAGGGTTTGGGGTTTTATAGGGGCAAACCCAGGTGATTTTTGGCTACAGGCCTTTGGCTTAGGGTTTAGGGTTTAGGGTTTAGGGTTTAGGGTTTAGGCTTTCCTATCCAGCGGCAGTGCGGCTGCAACTTAGGCTTTGCAAGTTTCTCAGCAAATCAGACTCTGCTGTGCCCTTGAAAGTCCTGGAGGCCAGAAGAATATAGGGGTCAGGGACGACAGGTGTGTATTCAGACAAAGGAATTCTTCAAATCTGCGTACAAGGACACCGACTCTGAAGAAAGGATAAGAGCTACTGGGTCCTGCATGTCAACATCCCTCACCCCGAATTAAGCCCCATATCTCCCTAAATAGATACATGAAATAGATGAATACATCTAAAGTAATGAACTATATCTGTATATATATATATATATATAAACCCTTTGCGTAGGGCACAGTGCCTGATTTCCTCCCTACTACGAACCAGTTGGGCAATGCTCCGAAGCTTCGTCCTCAACGCCAGAAACTTTCCAAAAACCTGACTCCAAATCAATCGGCGGAAAGTCTGGCTCAGCCCTCCACGTAGGCACTGGAGTCCACGTTAGTGGGAGCTCCCGCGATGGCACGGCGGACCAAGGGCAAGCCCATAGCCTACAACGGGCCGTTATCTAGGGGTTCTACCTTGTAGGCTTTGGGGCCCCTGTTTAAGGATCCCTAGGGGAATACAAGGGCCAGATAGGGAGTATATTAATTAAGGGGAAGTCGGGGTACAACCTTGGAAATACGAGTCTTCATGCCTGGACATTAAGGACATTAAGGTGTATACCCCTAAACCCAAAACCCTAAACCCCAAAACTTTAAACCCAAAACCCTAAACCCACAACCCTAAACCCGAAACCTTTGGGCTCCGGGGTTTAGGGGTTAATGGGTCTAGAGGTTTGAGGGTCTAGGGCGTCTAGGGGTTTAGAGGTCCGGGGTTTAAGGGTTTAGGGATCAGGGGTTCAGGGGTTTCCAGCTGGTTGTATCGGGTTTTTGGAGTTTAGAGGTTCAGGGCTTTCGGGAGACAAGGACTCTAGGGTGTGTATGGGGTTTTAGGGCTTGGGTTTTTGGGGTTTTTGGGCTTGCCAGGCTCCGTATTGATGTGTTCAGGGTGCTGTGCAGGGTCTAGGGTGTCTAGTCTGTCTTAAAGCCCTTGACCTACCCCCCCCCCCCCCCGGCCCTCCACCCCCACAACCCTAATACGAAGTGCTCCCAGAATAAGATTAAGACACATCTGAATGAGTTGGGATGTTCCCCCTTCTACTGACATTCCTCCTCGGGTGGATAGCAGGGAGTACTATAATCCCGTTTAAGGACTGTTAGTATAAGGGAACATCTCAAGGAATAAGTTTCACTAGCCGATGAAGGGAAGCACCTCCTCAACCCTAAACCATTAACTTCCTACGAAGCACAAGGGCCGTCAGGGGTTTAGGGTCTAGGGTCTAGGGCAACTTTCAACAGCACCAACCACTAAAACCGGGAAAAAAAAGACAACAAACAGACCCTACACCCTCAACACCAAACTACACCCTCTTCTGACGAACTAAATCCAGTCCTGGTTCCTCGGGCCTCTGAAGGCCTGCAGCCAGCCGCACTAAACCCTACACCCTACTTGGAGGGTTCATGGCCCTTGATTGTTAACCCAACCATCTTCGGCGACTTATCTAGAAGGCATATAGGTGGAATGTATAGGCACAGCTGAGCCTCCAAGTACACACTGAACCCTAAACCCTAAACCCTAAACCCTAAACCCTAAACCCTAAACCCTAAACCCTAAACCCTAAACCCTAAACCCTAAACCCCAAGCAGCTGGGCTTCCAGACCTGGGCCATGGTCTCGACGAGCTCAGATCCCACCTTAGCTTGGGGGAGAGGGGTTTAGGGTTTAGGGTTTAGGGTTTAGGGTTTAGGGTTTAGGGTTTAGGGTTTAGGGCGAAGCAGCTGAGGGGCTGACGCTTTTTGAACGGCATGTTGACTGGACAGATGCATGCAACAGAAGCCGCGCAAGGGCAGGTGTAGCTGTGTAATTATTGCTTTGTCAGATCCCCCTTCTAGAGACACGGAGACAGTCTTAGGAGTCTTAGGTACTGCACCCCTAAACCCTAAACCCTAAACCCTAAACCCTAAACCCTAAACCCTAAACCCTAAACCCTAAACTTGAAGATGTCGAGGCTCGGAGCTTAGAGTTTTGTCTGTCGAGGTTCAGCGAGGGTTCAGGGTGTAAGTTTCACAGTTCAGTCCAGGGTCCGAGAGACTCAGTTGAGAGCTGAAGTTTCAGGGTTTAGGTTGAGGGTGTAGGAGGCATAGGGTGAATTTGGGTTTGGGGATTAGGAATACGATAATCCCGGCTTATCAGCCCTGAGCCCTAAACACTAAACTCTCTTGAGGGTTGGGGGCTTTAGGACTTTTAGGACTTTTAGGGCTTTTTGGGGTGCATACCCTGCAGGGTGGAAAGGTTTAGGGTTGGGGTTCAGGGTTTAGGGTTTAGGGTTAGGGTTTAGGGTTAAGGGTTTCTAAGTTTTCCCTTCTTCAATGGCTACAAGCTGACAACGAGGCAGTCGAGAAGCCGTCTGATACATGTAGGAGTCCAGCTCCTGCCCAGGGGAAAGACTGGCGATTTGTAGATATTTAGGCACCCTACGCCCCAAACCCTGAACCCTAAACGCTAAACCCTAAACCCCTTAAACCCTAACCCTAAACCCTAAACCCTAAACTCTAAACCCTAAACCCTAAACCCTGCACGCAGAACCCTCAAACCCAATTTCGTTGCTCTGGTCTTAACCGGGGTGTATAAATGGGACCCTTCTCCCCAAAAACTGGAAGGAGGGTACTCCTGACATTCTACGTTTTAGGGTGTTAGAGTTTAGAGTTTAGGGAACCTCTAGAGCCAGAACCCCAAACTTGTGGTTTAGGGTTTGGGGTTTAGGGTTTAGGGTTTAGGGTTTGCCCATTCTTTTCTATTCCAGGCCCTACAAGCCCAAGAGAGGGTCTAGGGTTTAGGTTTAGGGCTAGACCCAGGAGTAGCCTAGGAAAAATAGGTGTGGCTTAAATGGGCTTATAAGGGAACCCAAACCTTAAAACAGTGGAACCGTTATGATACCGAAGCCTCGAGCAAATGCCTCTTAATGAACTCAACCAAGCCAGGGAGCTGTTTCAAACTTCACGCCCCTCGAGGGTTGAGGGCTGTAGGGTGTAGCGCTTTTGGGTTTAGGGCTGTTAGTTACTACTGATAGAGTAGCACCCTATACTGATAACTTACGAGGGCTTTTCGGGGTTGAGGGGTGTTTAGGGGTTTAGAGTTTAGAGTGCCGACGCGATATGGATTTCGACACACCAGCAGCTGAACATGACAAGCCAAAAACAACGCCGGATAGTCAGCCGACACTCCAGCGTTGTCGATGGCTTCGGAAGCTGATACCCTAAACCCCCTCTAAACCCTAAGCTCTATCACCCTCAACCCAAAAACTCTCAACCCTAAAACGCTAAACCCTAAAACCTCAACCCTAAAACCCTAAACCCGAAAACCCGAAAACCCTAAAACCCAAAAATCCTAAAACCCCAAAACCCCCAAACCCCAAGCCCAAGCCGACTCAAGTGCTGGCAGTGCCGGCCTTACTCTAAACCCTAAACCCTAAACCCTAAACCCTAAACCCTAAACCCTAAACCCTAAACCCTAAACCCTAAACCCTAAACCCTAAACCCCAAACCCTAAACCCTAAACCCTAAACCCTAAACCCCCCTAAACCCTCAACCCCCAAGCCCTGCCAGTGCCGGCCTTGGTCCCGGCCGGTGGGGCGAGGTTGGCGAGGCAAGCAATCTCATGGCCAAAGTGCTCACCTGGCTGGTTACCAGTAGCCCTAAACCCTAAACCTTGAGCCCTAAACCCAAACCCCAAACCCTAAACCATAAACCCTAAAACCCTGAACCCTGAACCCTAAACCTACCGGTTGGGGGGGGGGTGGCTTTAGGGTGTAGGGTCTAGGGTTTTTCAAGTTTAGGGCTTAGGGTTTTTGGGGGTTTAGCGGATTTAGGGGCTGAGGTTGTAGGGGGTTTCGAAGGTTGCAAGTATAGGCCCTTAACTCAGGTCCCTTGTGAAGCAAGGGTAAGGGGCCATACTAAGGGTTTGTTGTTCCAACCTTACATGGTTGGGGGCTTTCAGGGGTTGAGGAGTTTAGGGGTTACAGGGTTTTGGGATTGGGGTTTAACCCTAAGGCTCCAAGGACCCTCCTACAGAGGGACCGGTACCTCCTAATGAGGGCTCTGGGGTCGCAATTCCTAAGGGTTTGAGGGCCCAAGAGCCCCTTAGGGAAGGGGGTGTTCAAAGTTTGGGGTGCGATGGGGCGGAGGCTCGGTGGTATGGCGGGGGGGGGGGGGGAGCTGGGGCAAGTACACGTGCGTTCATGCGGGCTCATGCTTAGGTTTTTGGGATTCACGGTTCAGGGCATCTTGGTTCTGAGGCTATTCGGCCGTTAGTAGGGTGTTGGGGGGCTTCGGGGTCTCAAGCTGTCTTCCTAGACACGGGAGTAACCTAGGAATAAAAAGGGTGCCCTTTTGGGTTTTTAAGGGGATTATAAGGGAACCCCAACCCTAAAAAAAGGAAAACAAAGAGCCTACTCCCGGTCCTAGCTTTTCTGCTTCCAGGGATTCAGGGGGTTCATGGTGTCTTTAAGTTGTTAGGGCCTTGGGC